CCAAAAAGCATCACAAGAGTTGGGTTCTATTTGGGTAAATACAGAAAAAGGCAGCTACACCAACTTCTTTACAGTATAGTGAAATAACCTTGCACTTCTATACAGGAAACAAATGACACAATTTTACTGAAAATGTAATCTTGTATCACAAGCACCAGTCTTCAAGTCCCTAATTACTTATAGTTACTTTAAAGAGACCTTATTGGGTCAAACAGTCAACATGAAGAGAATTAAGTATTTTGTACCACTAGTGGGTATCATATCTCTTTGAAAAATTACATCTGCCTCAATGAGGTTTAATTACCCCTATTTGGTCAAACAGTCAACATGATGAGAAAGAAGTATTTTGTACCACTGGTGGGTATCATATCTCTTTGAAAAACTACATCTGCCTCAATGAGGTTTAATTACCCAGTCCGAGATGTGGATTTTTCTAGTATTTGAGCAGTTTAACAATTTTTATAAGAAGCTTTTTTTCAGATCTTGATTTACAAACTTTTTTGGTCTTCTTTCTGTTTGTTTTTTGTTTGTTTGTTTTTCCCAAATAACCTTCTAAAACAAGTTCTTACTGTGAGGGTGGTCAAATGCTGGTACACATTGCTCAGAGCGACTGTGGAGTCTCCATCGGTAGAGATACTCAAACCTCAGCTGGACACAGTCCTGCTCCAGCTGACCCTGCTTGAGCACAGGGGTTGGACTAGATTACCCCAAGAGGTCCCTTCCAATCTGAACAACTCTGTGATTCTATGAGATTCCTTGCATTTAAGATCAAAGTCGAGCACAAGATTTTAAAATTAGCCTGTGTAAATAATTGCTGTGCCTTTCTCATTATTCAGAGGACCTCCGAAATGCATTCTGGGTTTTAGTTTTGTTTTTTAAGATAGTAAGTTCTTGCTCATGTGTCCAGGCCACAGAAGGTACACAATGAACTTTGGTTTACACAATAGTACCATTTCAAAATGTCTATACCTGGGAAAGAAACCCTATTTACTCATGATTTGACTCCAGCATTTTTCCCCACCATCATTGTCTTTTCCCTTACCTGAGCAACATCTTCAAGTTTGTTCCATTTTAAAGAAAGCAGCAGTTTTGGCAATGATTGTGGAAAATTTTCACGACAGTCATAGCGCAAAGTCCAAATAAGATCCATTTCATTTTCACAGAGTTGAGACAAAGGATCTCTTTCCATTATTTCTTTTAGCACAATATAAAACTTCTTACCACCTCGACCCTAGAAAATGAGAAATGTACAATGTTTGATATATTCAGTAAGATTCTTGTATTTTAGCTCAAATACTAGAAATCCTACACCAGGAAGAACATCAGAGAAAACTCATGAAACACAGGGGAATGACTACTATCCCTTTCTTTCAGATTTCTTAAGCTGTAAGAACTGTAACTAATAGATTCAAAATTCAGTGTATAGAAGTTTCTGAAAAAGTAACTAAACTTTAGAGCTAATGACACTAGATGGCAATATTTCTATTTTCCAGCTCTAACACGGAGAACTTTCGTTTAGGATGCACATACTTTCTCCTTTTGTTTTTCAAGTAGGCAAATTTCACAGATATACATCTATTTTTTTTTCAAATTAAAAGCCAAAAAATACTTTTCCAACAATAACCAAAGGGAAGTACATTTGCCAAGTATACAAAGACATATTTTTTTTGTTTTCTAAACCAAACTCGTCTTTTCCAGACATTTTGCTCCATTTTATATCTCTGAAACATTAACATTAGTACTTATTCTAAATCAGTTTGTATGAATGAGTCTTCACACTGGCTTAGTTAATACCTTCTGTCTCCAGCCACGTCCTTATGCAAACTGAAAGGGTGGAAATTAAAGCAACGATATCAGCAACAATAGCATTTCATAAATTAACGGGAGACAAAAGAAACTGCTGCTTGTGGGTAAGGAGGTAGTACTTAAAGGGAATAAATTAGTTTTAATATATATTTTAGAACACAGTATCACAAGCTTTAAATACTGAAGCCAACTTTATCTTTGCAAAGCTGAAGAAGTTTCTACGTAATTTTAAGAGGTAGCCCAAAAGTCTTTACATTAAAGGAAAAAACAAGAATAATGGAAAGTTCAGAAGAAATGGTAGGCAAAATCAATTAGGATTCATAGCAGAAACAAACAGCTCTCATCAAATAACACTCTGCACAGGTTTCCCACCTGACCAAAAAAAAAAAAAAAAAACCAAAACCAAAACCACATCTGCTGCACACAGAACTTAAGTTTAGCCCCTTCTAGAAATGACAAGTGCCTGAGCCTTGTATTGCACTGAAAAGTTTTATATTTTCACGTAAAAATACCATCTAAGTATAAATTCTTTAGGAGTGAATAGACTTTAAAAAGCTAGTTAAATTGCAATGCTTGTTCAGTAAAACTAAGCACATACTCTTGTTTCTGTATGAAAAGAAGCAAACTGTCTTGACAATAAGGTGATTCTTGTATCTGAAAATGTTAATCTTTCAAATCAAAAGTCACAATATTGTCAAGCTGGCATGCTGTTATTTAAAACTTCCAGTTATTTGTACACTAAGTTGTTTGCACCCAAAGCAGCAGCGAGTTTTCACTTTTCCGGAGCACTTTAGGCACTTGGTATTGCAACTAACACATTTTTCAATTAACTGCTTTTTTCTTGTATAAAATACAGTTATTATTACTGTTGATCCCACTGTGCTTTCACCATCTTAAATTGCAATCTTCTGTATTTTTGTATTTAATACAAAGAAAATGCCCTCAGATTTTTGTGATCTTTTCAAAATTTGTCATCAAGTTAGAACTATCCAATTCCTCAAGAAGAGCATATAATCATCAGACTTAAGAAACAACATCTTATAGATCAATGACCATTTTTGAGAGACTTTATTTGGAAACATCTGACAATCAAGCAAATCATCACACTTGATAAAACTGAACAACTTCCCAGCAATATTTTATGCAGCCTAGGAATGTTTTTCTGACCTAGATCTAATGTAAATCTTAGCTGTGTTGCAATTCCTTAGAGTAAGTAAAGAAATTCTGCTTTTTGGGAAAAAACACCCCAACTAACTGATAAGTAGTCCAAAATATACTGGAAAAGGCAGATATATACCTGAATTTAAAGGCAGTTCACCAAAGTGAATTACGTAAGAAAACAGAGCCAGTAGAATTGTTACATGAACATCTGACTTGTTTATTTCTAGATTGATGTAGAAGATAAAAAAAAAAAAAAAACACACAGAAAGTTGATTTTAACATAGTCTTTAGCAGATGCTTACCGCCATTGCAGCATTGTCACTGCTTCTTGCAATCTCAGCTGCCTTTTCAAGTATCTGCAAAAAGATGTTTTTAAACACATTAGATTTAAAAACAAATCTGACTGCATTGAAAGAATAAATATTATAGAAATGAAGCAGATAAGGAAATTTTGCTATATTTTATATAATTAAAACACTATTACTTCGTATATACAGTGGTATAATATCGACTTTTATGCTGTGTCCCTTTTCTAATGTGCAGGACTATGGAGACCATGAATATGAGTGCTCATGATTGTCTCCATTTTCTTCTTCACCACTCCTGGGCTAAGTAGTCTTCCCTACAGCATCTTTTTTTTCTGTTTCTGTTTGCATTTCCTCCTTATTTTTCAGTACAGCAAACCAATTCCTCAACTCCAAATTATCCTTTGCTTTCTCATCTCTACTTGTGCTATTTTTGAGAGCACTGCTCCCATGAGTCACATCTGTCACCCATAGATCCACACTTCTAGCTCTCTATTTCAGTATAAATCCACAAACTTGGTCCTTTCACCATTACTCAGATTGCCCATATGATCTCAACTGGCGTTTCCAGCTACTTCCCAAAAATCTAGGATCTTCCCTTGTATAATATCATGAACAATCAGCTTCCAACAAGAACTCATTTAATGATCAAGTGAATATTCCACTAACAAGCCCCCAGCACCAGTTCATACACAGCAACCCTCAGGAACAAGGACTGATACCTTTGTTAACAGCAAAACAGTATTCCCCCAGAAGTTCAGCTCTGAGTTACTCTTACTCCTTTTTTTTTTTTTTAACCTAGTTTTTGAAGTTCATGTAATAAATCATGATGACTAGTTAAGTATAGATGTAAATATAGTTCTTCAAACTATATTCTGCACACTACTGCAACCAACAGAGATGTGTTAGAATGGTGACTGCCCTAGCTAATTAGACCAGCTGAACCAGTCAGGTAGGTATATTTACAGTTGTCAGATGCTGCTGCTTTGAGAAACAAGTCATAAAATGAAATATCAATTAAGAAGGAAGTCTAAGGAACTACACCATCTCCTTCCCTCAGAGGTCTGCCCCTGCTGTCACTACCTCCAGACATAGATTCAGCAAGACTTGTATTATCTTTACTCAGGCAATATGAGAAACATCAAGAGACTACAATAATCAGAGCATAAATACCCAGCACCTAAAAGTCCTTTAAAAGGCATACTAGTTTTATTTCTTTCTCTGTATGAAATGCCTACTAATATAATGTATTACATCTGCTACTTGGCTACAAAGCTTGTTTACATATAGTGCACATGAAAACATGCATAAACAAAATCACATTGTTCTAATTCTATGTTTGATTTTTAGAGTTATGCTGTTTGCAAATAAACTTTGAAAGTTTCTGCAGGTCGAGCTTTGTTCAACTGAACTATGAGCCCCTCAGCGTGTCAGCAGCACTGATCATTAGCCAGCCCAATATATGGCTCCTGCATTAGATAACAGTTTTCTTATCAATTGTCAAGGCGCTTCTGCTCAGTCAACCCCAAAGAGCTGTTCACTGCAAGCAGACTGATGCTATGATCGAAGATTAATCTATTTTTGCACATTATGTTTCTTAAAGATTTAGCATCTGATTCTCCATTTGCTTGGCAAAAACAAGCAACAACACTGGGAAAATTAGAAGCAGCCATACACCAAGTAAACCTCATCTAGACAATTTTGGAAAACAGATGCTCAGCTGATATAATCCAAGCAGCTACAATGTTACTCCATCAAGAGAATCTTTCAGAGATTGGGTATTTTACTCTCTTTTCCAGTGGAGAAATTTCAGTATACCCACAGAAACTGAATGAATTATCAAAGCTTAGACCTCCAATTTTTCCAGTGATACTGCAAAACAATTTCTTAACTCTAGGGAACTGCAAGTAGCAAAAGTTACAGGGGTGGTGGTGGTGGTGAGAATAACTGCTAAAAAAAAAAATGAAAAAGAAAAAGCACATTTTGCAGCATTTCCTCAAAGTTGAATGCTTTCAATGAATGTTTCATTACCATCTCTGAAACCACTTTACAAAGACGCTCTGGGATTTTCCTCTATCTGATACACAGGATTTCTCAGATACAGTTCAAGAAGGGGGAAAAGTCACAAACTAAGAGAGGCCAGCAGCCAAATGGAAGTTACAAGGGATGGTGAAGGCCATCAGACCTTAATGTCAACACACCAGGTAACTTACTCAGTAAAATCTTTTGTCTGTATTCACCCCAGCATTTTAACATACTGAAAACTTGGTATTGCAGGTACAAACAAAAAGAACAAATTTATTTTTTCCTTTGTTTTGCCAGACCAAATACACAATTACTTAAAAAAATATATTTTTACATAACATGTCTGTGATATGCACATCAAAGCAGCTTTTTTTTCCTTTAGAAATTCAATACATATAGTGTAATGACCAAAAAACTTAAAGCATTACAAATAAACCAATAACAAAACTAAAATACATCCAGTATGAAAAGTAAACCGGTCAACTATGATTAAGAAGGCAATTAGTCAGTACAGGTTTAGCTCTTAGGGCATTTCCAATGGCTGTTTTAATACAAGTACTTCACTGACAAGAAGGGTAAAAAAAACCAAATATAACCCAAAATAAAAAAAAAAAAAGCTTATCTTGTTATTTGATTTCTCTTTGATGAACCTTAAACCTAAAATCCCTCTTTGATCAAGCTGATAGAGCTTGGTGGTTTCTGACTTTTTGTTCATGCCCCTAAAGGGGCAAAACTGTCAAAAAAAAAAAAAAAGGCAATTTTCTCTAAGTGGTTATTAACTTTCCACAAAACAAAATTCAGACTAATGTATGTAGGAGTTAAACCTTGCTTTTTCAGTGCATCATTAGCTGTTTTAACACTTTTTTATTACTTGTTTCCTGGTCTTAGCTTTACTTGATGATCTGTGAACTTGCTATCTAGCATTCCACGCCAGAATGGCATTCTCCTGGAGAATTCCCATGGTATTCTCCTGGGGAAACTGGCAGCTCATAGCCTGGACAGGA